GTGAAAAAGTATGAAAGCATCCATAGAAACATATCTCCATTCTCTCTATCCATTCAGATGCTCAGAATATTTCCAGTAGTCTTTTGTCTCCCCAAAATATGGCTGAATACATGGACTTTCTTTGTCAGCACTGCTGTTAACATCCTCTGCAAGCAAGCAACAGCATATAGGTTATAGAATATAATTTTGTGTTAGCATACACCTGTCATCACACAATGCGGGGTCTTGGGCTCCTGGGCAGGAGCTACAAGGAAAGTTAATGTAACAAACTAGCTAGCATTAGCCACCCTGATATTTGGCCATGGCACAGGTATGGTGGATCAGTGTGGGATCATGTCACATTTAAAAATGTAATAATTTCAGACACTGTTGGCATTTACATTTATTAAGTTATTGTTTTCCTGGGATGTTCATGTAGGGGGAATTAATGCTGACTGGGACAGTTTTAGAATTTTTTTAAGTTTTCTTGCAAGGCTGTAATTATAATATAGGCCTATATTTGGGGGTACACAAAAAAGGTGCTATACTACGATCAGGTAACCTCACACCACCATCTGCAGTCATGACGAAAACTAAAGTTAATCAATTGCCATTGTTATTATTAGCTACCGGTTCTAGTATTACTATATTATATATATACTATATTATTGTTGCCGTAACCCGGCAGAAGCTGTTGCTGACAGCTGTGGGTAGGTATAATAATGTCAAGGTTGGCACCTTTCCAATATATCAAAAAATGGGAAACTAGATTTTAATATGAGTGTTTCAAGGTACAAGGTATAAGGTACCAGATTTATCTGACATATTAGAACAGGTTGTAATGTGAAATTGAGTTTGCAACTCCCTTCTGCTACGCAGCAGACACTATACAGTGATATAAAAACAATAGTAAAAATGTTAAGTTAGTGTTTCCAGTCAGGATGCTTTCTATTGCTCCTCTGTAAAAGCTGACAAGAACTTGGGGTGGGAATTTTCCTTTCTTAAGCTTCCTTAATAAATACAAGTCATTTTTGAGCTTTCTTAAAAAGCACTTCATCAGTGTGGGCGTGAAAGGGCGGGAGTCGTTCAGAGTGAACACAGCAGGTACAGGGACGATGGTGGCTGTCTTGAAGCAGGTGGGAAGCCTCTCCTGAGACAGTCAGATGTTGATCTTTTCATCATTCATTCAGCAGCTGAGAACGAGTCAACTTAAGAAAAAGATTCATGCATGGAATTTTGACGAATATAAGGAAGCCAGAAAAAAATGCTTCTCAAAGCTGGGGAAGGCAATTTCTTTCATAAGATTTTATTTGTCATGGAATTCTTGTTGCATCCCAACTGCAATCAATAAATCAAATGCTCTGATGCAAAAGAAGAACAAAGTCAGTCCTAATTAAATGATTGGGCGGCCTACTTCCCTAACTATCTTCCTTCCAGTCTGTGGACATAATAACTGTACTAAGCACAACAAAGCACGGTCACCTTAAGTTTTTAACCTGGATCTGTGGACATCGAGGAGCATCTGACTGGATGACCTCAGTATTTTGACCGGAGTGTGTACAACCCATTTAAAATTTTAAAAACATGCAATAAAATCTTAAAATCAATCCTAAAGCGGACCGGAAGCAAGTGGAGCGAGGCTAAAACAGGGGTAATGTGCTCATGTTGCGCTTGTTAGTTCCTGTTCGTTGGGCTGCTGCATTCTGGACTAACTGTAACCGATGGAGAGACGACTGATCAGCTCCAAAATACAAAGAATTACAGTAGTCTAGACGAAACGTTATAAATGCACGTATTACTCTTTCAAAGTCTTTGAGTGGCAGGTAGGGATTGACTTTGGTCAACATTCTCAGCTGAAAGAAACTGGATTTTACTACAGAACTAATCTGTTTTTCAAACTTAAAAGCACTGTCGAAGATGACACCTAGATACTTGGTAAATGGATGACTATATGTTCCTAAAGTACCAAGAACATCTACACAAGCACTTAAATCCCCAGGTCGACTGAACACAACAACCTCACTCTTAATTTCATTCAGTTCTGATTCAACCATATTTTAAGATCTCTCAGGCAGTTGAGCAAGGACTGAGTTGCAGCTTTGTCATTAGATTTTACAGGTATATTATATAAACTTTATCAAATAAATGCACATCATCAATGAAGATGTTACTTTCACTGTATACAACTATTAGTGTGTCCTGTCATCTTGTGTCCCCCAAAATAAATAAAAAAATTATTAGGTACAATAATCAAAACGTTATACTGACTCAGTACCTCTCCAGATGTCACATGTGGAGGATTTCACTTGTGGAGTATTTGTTTGATGGTAGATGAGTTCCTATACTGCACATGTCTTAAGAGAGACAGTTAATTTATTTTCGTTTTCTAAGGCTGTTCTCTTTATTATATTCCTTATTTTCTAATTGGTAGTACCAGTAAATCTCCAGTACATGGCAGTGTTGCTACATGGATGACATGCATTGATCAAGAGTTTCAATGCTATTATCACACTTTTCAGGTGACTTATTCAATTTATGTATAGGTATTATAGTTATACCAGAGCCTAGGAGCTTGAACACCTAATTGTAAGATAGCCATTACTCATATTAAAACTGGGCTAGGCAACATTAGAGAAACTTGCAGGATACAGCTAGATTTTGAGAGTATCTTACTGAAAAGAAATCCCACCACCTTCCTTCAGAGACACCCAAAACACATTTTCATGTGCACAGGCAGAGCTTGCACAGGTAGGCATGTCCAAATGAAATAATTGGCCGTGCCTTTTCCAGTCCTGCTGCAGCCACAGATACTGGATTATTTTTTTGTGTGTGTGTCAGAGCATTTGATTTATTGATTGCTGTTGGTATATAAAGCGAATGAAAAACGTTGTGATTTTTAACAAAATACTGCTTCTGAAGTAAATGACCTACTCCACATTTAATGTAAGTAGTTACAGTTTTTGAGGTTATCTACACACCTTTGATCCCCCCACACAGGTGTTTTCACTTATTTTGCTATTTAGTCTCAAAACTGCATGAGATTGAGTGAGTACTGACTAGGCTTAATTGACATCTCCCTGATTGTAGGCTATTGGCCTCTTACTTTTGCACCTGTTTACACCTACACTATATTGCTAAAGGTTTTAGGCCACCCCTCCGAATCATTGAGTTCAGGTGTTCCAATCACTTTCATGGCCACAGGTGTATAAAATCAAGCACCTAGGCATGCAGACTGCTTCTACAAACATTTGTGAAAGAATGGGTCTCAGGAGCTCAGTGAATTCAATTACCTTGTGAAATAAGTCCATTTGTTAAATTTCCTCTATACTAAATATTCCACGTTCAACTGTAAGTGGTATTATAACAAAGTGGAAGTGATTGGGAACAACAGAACCTCAGCCACAAAGTGGTAGGCCACATAAAGCCACAGAGCGGGGTCAGCGCATGCTGAGGCGCACAGTGCGCAAAAGCCGTCAACTTTCTGCATAGTCAATAGCTACAGACCTCCAAATGTCATGTGGCCTTCAGATAAGCTCAAAAACGTGCGTAGAGAGCTTCATGGAATGGGTTTCCATGGCCAAGCAGCTGCTTCCAACCCTTACATAACCAAGTGCAATGCAAGACATGTTCTCTGGCGTTCTCTGTCTGGCAATCTGATGGACGAGTCTGGGTTTGGCAGTTGCCCTGAGGGCGGTACTTGCCTGACTGCACTGTGCCAAGTGTAAAGTTTGGTGGAGGGGGGGGTATGTTGTGGGGTTGTTTTTCAGGGGTTGGGTTTGGCCCCTTAGTTCCAGTGAAAGGAACTGTTAATGCTTTAGCATACCAGGACATTTAGGACAATTTCATGCTCCTAACTTTGCGGAAACAAAGGGGATGGCCCCTTCCTGTTCCGACAACTTCCTCAAAGCAAGGTCCATACAGAAATGGATGAGCGACTTTGGTGTGGAGAACTTGACTGGCCTGCACAGAGTCCTGACCCCCAAGCCGATAGAACACCTTGGGGATGAATTAAAGCGGAGACTGTGAGCCAGGCCTTCTCGTCCAACATCTGTGCCTGACCTCACAAATGCGCTTCTAGAAGAAGGGTCAAAAATTCCCATGAACACACTCCTAAACCTTGTGGACAGCCTTCCCAGAAGAGTTGAAGCTGTTATAGCTGCAAAGGGTGGGGCAACTCCATATTAAACCCTACGGATTAGGAATGTGATGTCATTAACCTTCAGGTGCATGTAAAGGCAGGCCACCCAAAGCTTTTGGCAAAACAGTGCATATGTATTCTTAATAGTTCAGTGCGATCATGTAATTACCGTCACAACCCCACCCAACGTCATCAGAGGTCTGATCAACCAGAATGAAAACACCTATGTTTACAGGGCCACCATCCCCCTCCTAATGATGGTTTCATTTATCACGCCTTTAATTTGAACCCAACTCAGTTCTAAAACTGCACACTGTACAGTAGAAAATATCTGCCCATACAGGACGTATCTCATTTTTACTTTTATTATATTTCCAGGATGGTGGTCGCCTACTAGAATTCCTGATAGCAGTGGCTCTGGCTTGGTCGTGCAAATGAACACAATAAACATTTCTCTCAGCACAGCAGACACATTGACTTGTATAACTAATACAAATATAATGGCTGTTTTCCATTTCGCTCAGCCATTTCCAGCTCTGGTACCGTGCATGCCGGCTCACTGTCATTACCCACTGGTACACCTTAATGCAAAAGAGCCATCTCTGTTGTCTGTGTCTGTGGGTGGGAAGCGAATGACGGCTCTCGTCCTTGTCGGACAGGGCACATGCGGTTTAGCAGTGCAGTGGACAAATTAAACAGTAATAGACATTTCAGGTGCGTTTGCTTTCATTTCCATTTCCAAATGACCAACAACCTGCGGAACGGCCTCTGGCAACGGCATGTCTGCACATCTTAGACGTGACACTGGTAGGTAAAATGTTGCACAAAATTGGCCTTTTAATTCCTTTGAGTGTGTTCAACAACACAATCAGTAGATCAGAAATCTTCATGTGACATACTTTATTGCACAACAGACAAGACACACACAGTCAAACATCATTATTGTACACTTTGAACCTGTAATTTGGCAAGTTAAAGTATTTCAAAGTTACAGATAGTCAGGTTAGTTCCCTGTTGTGAGTCTTTGTTCACTTGGAGTGTGGCGCTCTGCTCCAGCTGGCCCTCTCTCTGGTGTGGAGCCTGAAGTGGGTGTTGAGGTGCGCTGACTGGTTGAAGCACTTCCCACAGACATGGCAGCGGAAGGGCTTTTCCCCTGTGTGGATGCGGTGGTGTCTCTTCAGCATGCTGACCGTGGTGAAGCTCTTTCGGCACACTGCACAGCTGTACGGCTTCTCCTTGGTGTGCCAGCGCATGTGGACCTCCAGCTGGCAGGCAAAGCTGAAGCCCTTCCCGCACTCTTTACAGCTGTGCCACCTCTGAATGCTCTGGTTTGGGTGAGAGGAGCGAGGCGGAGGCAGCTTCAGGGCTCTCGCATTCTTCTGCAGTATGTGCGCGCTCTGTTTCCCATTTGAGCGGAGTAACCCTTTCACCTGCGGGTCTGTTTTGTGATTCCTGTGACTCTTTGCGGTGCTGGCACCAGAATCGCTCTGAGCCGCTCTGCAGTTTGAATGAACAGCCACGCAGGATGGTAAGATGTTGGCTGGCTGCTGTTTCCTGCTGTCCTCTCTGTCACTCTCTACCTTAATCTCCTGGGACGTTAGCGGAGGTGGGGAGACACTTTGTCTGCTACACACAGTCAGGGCTGGTGGAGGATGTGACCTTTGTAGTGGTTCGATATGACTACAGTTTCCTTCCTCAGAGTCTCTTGCTTCTTGCGAACAATCAGGTTGACCGTTTCCAAGTTTTGGTTCCTCTTTAATTTGGAGCTCCACGCTGCTTGTCCACTCAGACTCACATGGCTGACCGTCTTCTTGGGGCTGGACATTGTGAGGGTCTGGAAGGTTACAAACATCACAGTCATGCTGGGACCTTTGCATAAACATACTGTATCCCAAAAAAGATCAACAAAAAGTATTTTTATCTTTTAGAATGACATGCACAAAACTCCAATTTCACCTACAGCTGAAAATCTGCAGTTATATCCTTGCAGATAAGATACTATACAGACCGCCATTAGACTGTATGAAACTATTTCAGTGCTAAGTTTAACTGATAGCTTGTGCTGCAAAAATTAGCGATTTAGACTGTACTGCCAAATTTATTGTTGCCATCTATGTTCTGATAGTGGATTTCAAGAAACCCTGCATAACAGACACACTGCTGCACTGGGTGACATGTTCCTCCATTACAATAAACACACACACTGTAGTTTATTTTGACTTAATCCCACAAACACCATCCAGCTGTCCAAACACTACAGTGACCAGCTGTTTTAAGGAAATTATGGAACCTTTTTTAAAAAAAGAATTATATATTTTGAGCCGTTTTAAAAAATGTACATCTTCAGTAAGAACTAACTGACTTGAGGCTGAGTGCTTTCCTTTAGTTAATAAGAAGGAAGCAAAGGACCACCATCTCTTCACCATGCCCCACATTAACAGACCTAAAGTCAAAAATTAGCCAAGCTGGCTACACTGGCACATTTACAGAAATGTCTATTAATGAACCTGTAACTTTCAACTGTATAAAAAAAGGATTGTTCATTTCCTGCATTCTGGAGACATTTTCTGCTCCAATGCAGGGTGGAAATGTCTTCATTTATTAAAAGAGGAACAAAAACTTCAGCTGGCAGGTGATTCATTCAACAGAATATAATGCAGTAATCAGCAGCCTGTTACTTTTTTGGTCAGTGCACATTTGTTTCTTCTACGTTTAAATTGCTTTGCCTGTTTTCTTATTGTGCAAATAAACCTTTCTCAAAGCATTTTCATTTATTAATTAACATTTCTTAGTGCAAGCTATTTTTCAGAACATTTTAATAAATGCTTTCAAAAAGTCATGGGGAGAAAATATGGCATTTTAAAATGTGGTGGGGACATGTCCCCAGCGTCCACAGTGTAAATGACACCTCTGGGTGTTCTGCACTTTGACAGCTGCATAAGAAGCAACTGAATTATCAGTTATGGGGCAATAATAATAACAAAATCACTGTCACAATAAGTATCAGAGAATTATCAGAACATTGGTATTTGACATGATGTGCTACAATATTTAAGTATTAAGTCATCCTATAGGCTAATTGTCAAAAATCCACTCCAATGTTGGAACTTTTTACTGTTTGTCATTTATATACCGCATTTCCTTGTTTGAGATTCTCGCAACAGCTTTACATGGAGGGACTCACTGCTCAGCCCTCAACATTTTCATTTCCTAACATTTGTTTGAATTATTATTACAATAGTCTGTAAACAAACCCAGATTATTGGCTGTTTTCTTCCACTGATGCTTCATGGTCTCTGTTTAATTTAACTACTACTGGCGGTGTTGCTTTTATGCTCAGTTTCTGACACTGTACTGCCTGCTTTCATTCAGTAAAGGAAATGATGAAGATATGGCTAAATGTGACGCGGGCTGAGCGCCCTGCTGTAGTTGGCCACACAATGAGCGAGGCTCCATTCGAAAGTGACATATTTTGAATGAGATTTGGCGAGACATTAAGTACGTCGGCGAACAGAGCATATATATATAAATGTCACGCCTCACAGCAGCACCCACATCCTGTCACCAGTTGCTGGTCCTCACCTGGGTGCAGCAGCAGCCGCTGGACGGCTACATTGAGGAGCCGTTTGAGCCGCTCGTTCTCCTCTTTGGAGCGCAGGAGTTCGCTCTGATACTCCAGCACCGTGTTTTTAACGGCGCGAAAAATCTCTTCTGCGGCCGCCGTCAGCCTGTCGTTCAGAAACACGTTCAACAGCTCCAGCTTGGTCATGTTTTCCACTGCTATCTCCGGAGGCGGAACGTCCTTCTGTTTACATCCTCTAACCCGGAAGAAGAAGTCTACCGGCTGCGATTTTTTCCCCCTAGGGCGGCGAAGGCATGACCCGCCCTTCTCTGCCGCTGATTGGCTCACTGTGCCTCTGATTGGCTTATCGCCCTTATCCTGATGTTCTTAACCTCACCATCTGACTCATCTTTCCTAAACCTAAGCAAACACACCAACGAAGGCAATGAGCCAAAAAGGAGCAGAGTACCTACACACCCAGTGCTAGAGGCTATTCCTTCAGGGGCTGTAATATTGCTTTTCATGAATACAGTTAATGTTTCCACAGGTGCTGGTCATATAATTAGAATATCATCAAAAAGTTGATTTATTTCAGTCATTCCATTCAAAAAGTGAAACTTGTATAATGTATACATTCATTCCACACAGACTGATATATTTCAAGTGTTCATTCCTTTTAATTTTGATGATTATAACTGACAACTAATGAAAACCCCAAAATCAGTATCTCAGAAAATCAGAATATTGTGAAAAGGTTCAATATTGAAGACACCTGGTGCCTTTAAATGGTCTCTCAGTCTAGTTCTGTAGGCTACACAATCATGGGGAAACTGCTGACTTGACAGCTGTCCAAAAGACGACCATTGACACCTTGCACAAGGAGGGCAAGACACAAAAGGTCATTGCTAAAGAGGCTGGCTGTTCACAGAGCTCTGTGTCCAAGCACATTAATAGAGAGGCGAAGGGAAGGAAAAGATGTGGTAGGAAAAAGTGTACAAGCAATAGGGATAACCGCACCCTGGAGAGGATTGTGAAACAAGAGATTCACAAAGAGTGGACTGCAGCTGGAGTCAGTGCTTCAAGAACCACCACGCACAGACGTATGCAAGACATGGGTTTCAGCTGTCGCATTCCTTGTGTCAAGTCACTCTTGAACAAGACACAGCGTCAGAAGCGTCTCGCCTGGGCTAAAGACAAAAAGGACTGGACTGCTGCTGAGTGGTCCAAAGTTATGTTCTCTGATGAAAGTAAATTTTGCATTTCCTTTGGAAATCAAGGTCCCAGAGTCTGGAGGAAGAGAGGAGAGGCACAGAATCCATGTTGCTTGAAGTCCAGTGTAAAGTTTCCACAGTCAGTGATGGTTTGGGGTGCCATGTCATCTGCTGGTGTTGGTCCACTGTGTTTTCTGAGGTCCAAGGTCAACACAGCGTCTACCAGGAAGTTTTAGAGCACTTCATGCTTCCTGCTGCTGACCAACTTTATGGAGATGCAGGTTTCATTTTCCAACAGGACTTGGCACCTGCACACAGTGCCAAAGCTACCAGTACCTGGTTTAAGGACCATGGTATCCCTGTTCTTAATTGGCCAGCAAACTGGCCTGACCTTAACCCTATAGAAAATCTATGGGGTATTGTGAAGAGGAAGATGCGATACGCCAGACCCAACAATGCAGAAGAGCTGAAGGCCACTATCAGAGCAACCTGGGCTCTCATAACACCTGAGCAGTGCCACAGACTGATCGACTCCATGCCACGCCGCATTGCTGCAGTAATTCAGGCAAAAGGAGCCCCAAAGTATTGAGTGCTGTACATGCTCATACTTTTCATGTTCATACTTTTTAGTTGGCCAACATTTCTAAAAATCCTTTTTTGTTTTGGTCTTAAGTAATATTCTAATTTTCAGAGATATTGAATTTGGGATTTTCATTAGTTGTCAGTTTTAATCATCACAATTAAATGAAATAAAAATTTGAAATATATCAGTCTGTGTGTAATGAATGAATATAATATGCAAGTTTCACTTTTTGAATGGAATTACTGAAATAAATTTTTGATGATATTCTAATTATATGACCAGCACCTGTATATATGATTTTCCCTGGCTGGAACCACCATCACAAACAGGCAAAATATGTTTCATATACTGTAGGTGCAAGTGTTGTGTGCACTATTCCAACAGGAAACAATGTCTGTTTGTTGTGTTATTTTAACTGGAAAAAAAAATCTGGAAAAGGGTAGTTATTCCCCCACAAACCCACACTTAGTTGTCAGTTTAGTAGGAGCACCTAGCTAAAACTCATGCAGATGAGCCCTGCATTAAATGCTTTCTTCATGATTGTGACAATGTTCAGTTTTTGATCAATGTGTTGATAAACCTTGGTCATTTTGGAAGATGTGGTTTGTGCTCTTGACCTGTACTGCATTATGCATTAGTATTTTGTCCACTGCAGTTATATCATAGTTGCCTGCTTGTCATCTCATTCTAATTTACGTATCTTTAGCTGATTGTATATTTTGTGTGGAATGAAACAGATAAACAGTTTGAAAAATGAGATACAGATTGTACATTTCTTTTTTTGAAACATGACGCTGGTCTCCACCCTGGCATAAACTATTGCCTGAGTCACCAGTCAATTATTGATCCAGCTTGTCATTAAAAGCATTTTTTATTTACATAGTAATTGTACAAGTCACTTTGAAAAGCAGGTTTGTGGGAAAGGGCAGAGCAAACACATTAAGACCAAATAAGTTGATCTTTTCTCAGACAACACTGATGACCAATGCTAACGGATAAGAGAAAAACTAAAGACAGCATTGTTGAGTTGAAACACAGTGTTTGTCAATCATAGAAACATCAGAAACAGTCCCTGAGGTGTTCATCAACAAAGACAAGAGAGCACTTAACCCAGACTAGTTGTTTCAAAGTATGTCCACTAAATAAAAGAACTGGTTAAAAAATGCGCACAGTTCAGTCCAACATTATAAAAAACACTAAGGGACGAGCACAGGTTGAAGGTGCACTCCACAAGATCTGTGTGGAAAATCTATAAACCACATATACCTGACGGATAAAACGATCAGTACTACCAGTAACAACTGATGGAATTTAGAAATGTAATTGTAACTTTCTCTCAGGCTGTTGACAAGGTCATCTTTTAAGTATAACTGATAGATTTCACTGTCATAATCTGGGAAATAGCTGGACAACAACAGTTTAGTCTGCTCAGATATAAAATAAAACAAGTAGTTGGGGGCAGGCTACTGTAAGTGCAGCAGTATTCATTATTTCTATATTCAGCTTGCTCTTCCCTTCGCATACACAGTATACAGATATGATTTCTCTCTAAAATGACACGTTTGTCATTCACAACATTTATCTTCTAGGAATTCCTGACATACTAAGATGTTCTTCACACCACCTCCCTGCACCAGAGCTTTTTTCATTTTCTCTTTTCAGGACCAGGAAGGTTTTACAATGATCATGAACAGACATGACAAAAAAAAGTAAGCCCTGCAGAATTAAACTTGGGCCATCAGATGATCATATGGCAGGAAATGAAAAAGGAGAGAAGATGTCTAAGATGTAAAGAACAACAAATATGAACACGGAGCTTAATATATGTTGAACTTTGAAGAAAACAAAATGTTTTAAAACACTCCATAGTAGATAGTGGGTGATGGTCTTCACTTCTTTTAAATACAGTCACAAAACAAAGTCGTGGGTGGCGATTGTGCTCGATGGGGCCCTCAGCTGTCAATCATCTCTGAAAGTTCCTGCAACAGGTCCTCCTCTCCAATGCCAGGGTCCACGTCTTCTTCCAGATGGTCTTCGGTGAACTCATTGATCAACTCCTCAAAGTCGTCATCATCAGCAGAGGTGGAGGCAGCAGTGCTGGATGCGGAGGCAATGCGGGACGCAGCTACGCTCAGTCTCCGTGACTTGGGCTGAGTGGGAGTCTTGACGACTGGGCTGAAATGTAGAGAGGGTTGTATGTATTTAGTATCTGACAATGCTGCAAAAACATCAGTACAACAACCCTCAAGTTTCACTGAGATCGTCTCATTTTTCTACAAACACTAAAAATGGGCAAGGAGTTCACATTCTAGAGTCAACCAAACAATGCACATTTTTTCTTTGTGATCACAGATTATATATGCAGTTAAAAAAAAAAATAAACTACCTATACCTGCTTACAGGTATTTCCTTGGTAAAGTTTGACATCACCAAGAAGTTAATGTTCATTAAAACATTTAAGGCTCTCAGTGGACCTTTACCTTTGGGGGACCGTGCAGGCCTCTCTGGCAGCAGCAACACTGACAGTGGGCTTGGTTTCTTGGCTGAGACTCTGCTTGAAGACAGGGACTGTCTGGAGCTCCTCTCTCAGTGGGCTGGAGCAGGAGTCCAAGAGAGTGGTGGGACTGTGGGGAACAGCAGCGCTCAGCTGAGCATCTGCACTGGAAGACGGGAAAACCTGACAATGGAATAAAAGTCACTGGAGGTCAGTAAAAGCGCTAGATTGCTTAAAATCACCATTGTGAAGGACATTTTGGGGGTACTATGACACAGGTTTTCCCAGGTCACGATAGGGTCATTTGCTAAAGTGAAGTAAGCCAACTGTGACTCTCCAAATCAGTAGATCAGACTCTGTGTCTCTCCTTAGTCGACTGACTGACGCAACTGTCTCGATAAGGACGCACTGCTATCCATCTCCTAGGTAACCCAAGGTCAAGATTATCTTTATTTAATTTCATTACAGACAGACTGACTGGCTCTATGTAGAAAGTGTTGCATGTGGCTTAAATGCCAAACACCTTCACTTTTCAGTGCCTTGTTTTGAACCAATATCCAAAAGAATCTTCACACGTGTTGGGGGGCAAACGACGAGCTAATTGAATCTCTGTAGTTCTAGGAAGAATAAATATCCCCATAGAGATATGAAATGTGCTACATCAAATAAATTTAAGATACATTTGAAAAGGTCTTTCCACGTGCCAACCTACCTCCTGTCTTTCCCTGCATGTTGTCTCCTGCTGTGGCTCCTCCAGCACTGCGGAGGCGCTGTTCAGAGGTTTTACAGCAGCAACAGCAGATCGCTCTGCTCCCCTCCTCTTCTGGGCTGGCTTCACCTGCACTGCAGGCTTCATGACGGACGGCTTCACATTCAGTTTGGGCCTCACTGAAAAGGAGGCAAAGTTTTAGTGATTGATATGTAATGAAAGTGCTTCTCTCGTTTTGACCCGTTTCATTACACACGTGTATTT